ATCAACCGTATGCGGCTGTTAGCTCTTACGAATATACAGTTTGTATATTTCGATAAAATTTAAATCGTATTTTGACCTTAGTCCAACAATTTTATTTTGATTTAACTATTTCCGGGGGCTTCTATTTCTGTTATGTTTACTTCTATTTACTAGAAACATTAAACCTTAGATAGATAACATAATCTGGCCGCATTGGCCTGTCCTTCAGATGAGCGTTGGCAGCACATGTCTAGTCTACCAGTAAGTAGATGTTATTATGTAAACAGGCAATATATTATGTTTAAATTCAATTGCTTCTTTTGGCGCGTTAGGAAAAAATTATGAGAGTAAATTTTTGAGATGCGCGCGCACACCATCACAAAAAACCGACACCCTGAATATCTATTCAAACGTCGGTAAAACAGTCTGGGCCGCTAGTTGGCGCTTGCTCTGTTTTATCGACAAGTTGCATTTTCTGTCATGGCGTAGTGTTTTTCTGAGTCGTGTTAATTTAAACAAAAATGATGATTTCTATACGAGAAAATGTGATAAAAAACACAAGTGACCATTAAAATGGACAAGAAAATTGCAATTTGTAAAGGGACACGTCCCTCTAAAGTGCTCGAAGAAAATTATTACGCCAAAAAAGTATAGCTTCTAAGGCGTGTACATAAAGTACACACACGTTTTTATAATACTCAGAAGCTATAATGATTTAGCATGATTTGTAACTGCGCTATATTTCTAGGATTTGCAGTATTCTGTAAAGATGTTTTCGTAGACAATGGTGTGTAACGAGACGCCTGTCTGTTCGCCACTCGCACAACCAGCACTGTCCACCGAGTTGCTGTTTCATTACACTTTGCTCGCTCTAGGGTTGCTAACTGCTCGGTTTCGTACTACTAAGAAAAACAAACGTTTTAAATTCTGAATGACAAAGAACGGTTCGGTTCATCGATACACAATTTTATACTAAAATAATAAATCCTGAGCACATAGCTCGTTTGGATATGTATAGTCGTAAGGATATAGAGAAATTATATTAGTTGGGAACAATAAGAGAGGTTGGACTGATAACATAGGTACTGTTATCTTGTTTTGTGCCTTAATATGTATTTCTTTACTGACGAGTCATAAGTGTATAATGTGTTAACTATATGATTAAATGATTTTTGAATTTGAAACTTGCAATAGTTCACAAAACGTACAGAATACTCTACTACGTAACTATTAACAAATATAATTAACAAAAAGGTATAAATCAAAATAAAAATGCGTCTAACATAAAAAATGTGACGATCATAACAAAAGTTATATATTTCGAACAGTATTGTATAAAAGGTATCTCTTATTTCTTTTTTTTTCATATCTACTACTCAGTTTCCACTTTTCACCAGATAAAACACCTTCAGCCCTGGCACATGTTATTAGACAATTCCGTTCCCATTGTGTGTGGAGGGTGACATCCCTATACAACTCGATGCGTCTCCGAATTCACCCAATACATGAATTGTATTGGTTAATGAACATTTCATAAACAACCCTGCTTAATTGGCTTAATACAGCTCCACAGTTTTTTAATTAACGCTAATCCAACTTAACTTTATTTAAAGAAAATTTTCAGAGATTTAATTATATATCATAAATCTCTAGTTTTATTTACTTTATTTAACATTAACTTAGCAATTAACTACTATAAAACCAAATAAGTTTTTAAATGAAACGCAATAAAAATACTAAATAAATCATTTCATGATGATATTGATAATATTGTAAAATTTTTAAAATTCCAATACGTATAATCTGTAAAGATTAATAATAAAACTGCTATATTTGATTATTCCAAGCTTGACGTTACAATATCGTTTATACTTTCAAAATAAGCACAATTTGCTTGAATGAACTTTTTATAGTATGAGGATAACTGGAAAAGTTGCAATCATTTGCGCGGGGTGAGTCGCCGCGAGTTGCCGGCGACCGCAGGTAGACGCGATAACTACACCGGAACTGAATCAAGACTACAACTTTGACCCGCTAGCGGTTTATTTTCCGCGAAACCAAGTAATTGTCTAACTACTTGCTCGTGGTTGTTTGGAGCTAATGCGATTTCGTTAACAACATAAACAGGATGCACGAATTACCTTGACACGAGCAAACATTGAAATGTTGAGTGCCATATGCCACAATCGCTCAACGATGGAAAAATTCAAATTGAATAGTTCTAACTGATTTCCCAAATTCAACAATTTACTTTCAAAGTATTTACTTTAGAAATAAAAATGTTTACATATTTAAATAAAAATATATTCTAACTATAATTATGAATGCCAATACCAACTGCTGTCTGCCAAGTTTTGGACAAGCGATGATGGTTTTATTTTTATTTCCTTTTACACTTTGCATTCACTTTACTATTAAAGAGAAGCTTGTATAATAATTAAACATGTGAAACTCCATCAGCAACTACGTACTTCATTCATTCTAATACCAAGAATCGTTACTCATGACAAAGAAATAATTAAATTCCCTATTTGTATCGTCCTCTGTACTCGTAGTGTACACACCAACACATATACATTCACCCTAAACCGTTTTAGTAGGGCTGGCAATTTCCGCACAGATGAAATTGATAAACACACAAGTGTTTATCAATTTATTATAGAAGTCAGCTGCAATAAAGTTACGGAATACATTTTGAAATTGTTGTCAATATATGCCCATTTAAGAAAATATAATATGGTTTAATTCTGAACTAATAGAGATTCTCTAATGGAAGTTACTAAATTAAAATAAGTGTGGTTGTACATTATTACCTGCTTTAAACATGATCAGACTCAAAATAATAATTAAGACCAACCCTAATGGTAGTCAACATCGTATTGTCTGAATCTTTAATTACGGGCCACAAACAGAGTGATTAAAGAGGTAGGAAGCAATTAAGTTGCCTCGGAGGCTGTTATTATTGCTCTAAAACTGATCGGTCGCAAGAGAAAGTGTATATTTTTCTAGAAAAAGACGAGAGACGAAAAGACATGATAGAATATTAATTCATTATGAATTTAAATTCATTAAAACAATAGAATTATTCACTCTTATATAGTTACAATAAGAGAAAATATAATTTAAAAATAAATCAGTGGCGCTACAACCTTTTTAGGTCTGGGCCTCAGATTTTTGTATCTGTTTCATGATCATTTGTTAATCTAATAGGCAAGTAGGTGATCAGCCTCCTGTGTCTGACGCACGCCGTCGAAATTTTGGGTATGCCGGTTTCCTCACGATGTTTTCCTTCACCGTTCGAGCGAATGTTAAATGCGCACATAGAAAGAAAGTCTCCATTGGTGCACAGCCGGGGTTCGAACCTATGACCTCAGGAATAATAGTCGCACGCTGAAGCCACTAGGCCAACACTGCTCAAAGAAATGCGAAAATATTATACATTAGTGTAAATTTTTCAAAAATATTTAAATTATATCCAGCTTAGATCAGCATCTAAATTAAACTTGACTTAAATCTAACAAAAGTAATAAGTTTGCCTCTTCTTTAGAAAAGCTTTCATCAACGATCTTCGTCATGGAAATCTTTTAAAAGAAATACATTCAACTTAATTAAAACAGCCTAGATTATGATTTATGCCGAGGAAACCAAAGATGCAATAGGTATATTATTTTTTTGAAATCTCTCATTTTCTGTTTGTTTTATTTTAAAACTATAGCAAATGTACCAAGTTCAGCTCTGTATATTTCCATACAAACGTTTTGCAAAGTTATTTTCAACTCAGTAATATTCACAATAAAAATGATCTGTGGAGATGTGGATAGAATTTCTCAGCCAGTTTAAAATTGCAACAGTTTGGAGTTTAAACTCCGTAATTTGTTGGGCGTTGGGCTTCGTTCGTCATTGGTGAAGGAAATACATTTGTATGAGCTGTTATTCAAAACTAATATGATGTACATACCATATATAAGTAATATACAAAATAGATTTTTATCAAATCACAACGATGTTTTAAAGGCTCTTAAGAAAGACAATTGTGAATACTATTTAGAAGATATATCCGACAAACTATACATATTAACAATATAAGCACTTTTAAGATAAATTTAATTCAATTTATCCGATTTGAACATATTACAAAACGAAATATAATCCGTTAAATCCCCTAACTCTTTCAAAGAAGATATATTTATAAAATGCTCACGTAGAATTTGTTTCTAACTCTGAACTTCACTGAGAAATGTTTCTACGCCCGGTATCACGTACAGCACATAACTTCTAACCGCTAAATTCCACAAAACTATCTTATTATTAGATCGCTTTATTATTGGTATTTGTGTCTAATTCCGAGGACCTTCTGGCCTCTTCGTTTCAATTTTGTATGAGATTATTCAACTTTTAAATGCTATTATTACCGACCAGGGGAGATAGTTCTACAATCACTTTTTCCTTATTCAAATTGGGATTTGAGTCTGAGAGAACAGAGAATATTTTATCTGGTGTCTCTGTCGTCGTAGGAAGAAACAAATAAGGCTCCCCAGATAAGTCGGAGCTTATGTTAAATGGACAGAATAGTGTTTGCGATCGAGCGGCCACTTATAAAACATAGAGGAACCGTTTGCCCGGGTCTTAACCGGACCCGGGTAAGCCGGTAAGTGTGGCACGATGTTCGGATAAATCCCCATATTATTGTTATTGCGTCCCCGGATAGCCAACGTTACGTTCAAATGAAAAACCACAATCATATTTTGTTTACACATCAAATATTGAAATATAGATTCCATGAATTTAGATTCCTCAATCCTTTATCTACAGTGCAATAAATTATTTTGCAATATTTATTTAATTACATTTAAACGTATACTATACATATTTTTTTATTTAATTTTTAGGTGCTCACTATACTATACTTAAACTTCTCGTAAGCCAAAACCCTCAGTTACAAAATATATATATTTTTATTTTACATCAAAACATTCCACCACACATCATTTTCAACTATCGGATACATTTTGCATATAAACTTATTTTCCTTGCAATTTTTTTCTTAGGGACTCAGGCATTCCTGCGGGCGGCGGGCGCGGCATTCCCGTGTACACCTTGAAGCCATCGTATACGAACCATTGCAAACCGGTCAGCGTACCTATCATCACGATACGCGCGACAAGACCACGCCATATGCCGAACATACCCACTTCCGAGAGAATTCCACCGATGCTGGCACTCGGGTCCTTGTTTAGCTTCGACACGATGGTATCGGATGGATGGGACACAATGGCGCAGAGCACCCCAGCTATATATCCTGCCGTGAATGTCAAAACCAGCTGCTCCGTCTTCGTACACTCCTCTCTCGGTTTCGGAACCACGTTCGTATACAAATACTCCAAAACTTTTTCAAAAGATGAAAATTTCATCATCGTGTAAGGAACCTGACGTCCCCATAGTGGGACTAGGCCTTTGAAGAAAATTCCGAAACCCTCCGTAGAGAGCATGTGAGGCATCGCTTTCATCATTTGTGAAGTGTACCCTGGAGTCGTTTGCATTCTTACCTTGGTGGCTTCGAAAGGCGACAAGAAACAATCGGCGACCAGCTCTGCGGACGCGGCGGCAGCTAGATACATGTAGGTTCTGTACAAGTACGCCGTCTCTTCGTCGACGAAAGTGGCGAATTTATATTTAAAATATTCATAACCGGAAAATTTTGCAGCCCCTTGCAAAGAGTATCCTATGAACGTCGGCGCCCAACCTTTCACGAGATTGGCGGGGCCGCCCTCTCGATAAGATATCCCGAATCCTTTAAAAATCGATTTGTATTTTCCTGGATCGACTTGTAAACGGCACTTTACGAGGTCTAGAGGTGTCACGAACGTGTGCGTGGTGCCACAGGCCACGGCGCCTCCCGCGGCACACAACATGAAGAATTTGTTGCTAAACATCTCACACGAAAACTCTTCTTTTTTGGACATTTTTTGGACTCTCGTGACACTCCTAGTGTAGATCTGGCGTAATTTAAAGATTGGGGTAAATTTACGGCGTAAGATATTTGTGAAATTTGTATAAATTCATTACTTCAAAGCATATTGACAGGCTACACATTCGACTGAGACAATTTCGGATTTATTATTTTTTAACGACAGAGTTTTCTCTATAGGCCATAGAGAAGTTCCGGCGGAGCTTAGACGTCAGAGGAAGTGACCCCTCAAAGGCCGTTTCCCTGACCCAAATAATAAAACATCAATATTATATTATTAAAAATGTTTAATTATATTTCTTAACTTAATTTAAAATATAACACATTTCAACGTATGCACATATTTACAAAATAAACCTAGTCTATCGAATCGCGCATCGACTGCGTGCCGACGAGGGTAAACGTACAAACCTATGAAAATCCTTCCTAAACAAAGCGAATAGAAGTGACGTCATCACCCGAAATGGCCAAAGTTAGATTTCACTCGTGATAATCGCTATTTAAATAATAAATTAAATACATTAAAACGTAGCATCTTTTTACAAATGTATCAAATATTAAAGAAAATAAATAATCGTCACTTAACAGCTAGACTGGCACAAAGACGGCGAATGAGGTCAGTGGGGTCAATTCAACCTTCGACCTTACACCGCTATCGCTTATCATTAATACTGCCGACGTCGTCTTCCGCTCCCTCGACGACGACTTTAACAGCTTTCGCACAATACGCTCCTCTAAAAGCGTCTCACACGATCGCATCGAGACTTAACGTATTCAGATATATCGACCCATCCTTAAATGGCAGTGCTCCCAATGGCAGTGATTTAATGTGATCGGAGACTGTCCGACAAATGAAGACCGTCGTCGGACGAAACGCGTGAAATAAACATTAGTAAAAAATTAATTCGAGTCGATGTCGCGTCTCGTAAACGTCGATCGAGGCGCGATCCGGACGGACACGTAGAGTCGCAAGGGCGCCGGCGCCTCCGACTCGCGGACGTGTCGGCGACCTCTTCGTCGGGAACCGGCCGACACGAAGCGGCCCTCCAGTTCCAGCTGCCTCTCCAACACCTGTCGAAAACCTCGATTTTAGAACGAATTCCGGTCGCCGAGACGATTCGGCCGAGAGAGTCTCACCGCGTTCGCCTTGAGGTGCCTCCTGAGCCGCAGCGCCCAGGTGCCGTCCTTCTTGTTGAGAACGAAGTCGCGGTTGTCGTCCCCGTAGGCGATGCGGTAGTGGGGTCGTCCGTCGGCCTCCGCCCCCACCAGCCTCAGCAGGGGCACCCGGCCCCGAGTCTGCTTCGCGTCGGCGCTCACCACGATAAGCTCGGCCTCCGGCTCCAGCAACGACCGACGACCTGAAGCGTGAGGGACGAGTGAAAGACTCTCTCGCTCTCGTCGTACGACACGAGGCACGAGAGAAAGACCGGTGAACTCACGTCGGCTACGTCGCCGCAGTCTCCTGACGAGCGTGGTGCCGTTGGCGAACACGATTCCCTCCTCCGGCGCTCGACGGTGACGACCGTTGACCTGAAGGCGGAAACGACGGATGAGATTTGGGCGTTTCCCGAATTCGAGATTCGCGGCGCGCGAGGCGAAGCCCCACCTTGCAGCTGAAGCATCCCTCGGTGGAAATCAGATCGTTGTCTCCTCCGACCTTGTACTGATGCGAGAGAGGGAAGACGGGTGCGTCTCCGATGTCGTCCGGCGGCAGAGCTCCGTCCAGGGCGGAGAGGCAGTGGCCGGCGCCGACCAGTCGGTAGCCCGCCGGACAACCGCACTGGTACGAGGAACCCAGCGCCGTGCATCCGAAGAGACACGACGCGCCCGCGCATCCGCCCGCCATCTGCGGGACACACGACGTTACAATAGTCCTAGCGCGCTTCTACCTCACGTGAGAGAGAGCGAGCGACGGTACCTGGAGGCAGACGGCGTGTCCGGCGTCCCAGCCGTAGCCGGCGGGACATCCGCAGCGGTACGAGCCGCCCAGAGGGAAGCACGGCGACGACCCGCACGGCCCGCTCGCGCACGAGTCCCGCGGCACGCAGACGCCGCTCGCCGACCGGATGGAATCTGAGGCAGACTCACGCATCAGTACGAGCCGCGGACTGTTACAATTCCTCAATGCATCCTATATTGCTGACATATCCTGGTCATCATTTCTTCGCATGCATCAACAACCTTACATTCCCCTCGGGTCAGTCGATCTCCTTACTCTTATCCGAGCAGGCGTGCTTTTATTTTGCTTTATTTTCTTTGTGAATTATAATCTCATTTAATATACTTATATTGTAATTATAATTTTTTTTTTTTAATAAATCCCAAATAATTTCCGCGTAACAGGACGCAGAGGAGACGGAGGAGCGCTCACCGGGCGGACACTCGCAGCGGTAGCCCCCGGCGTAGTTGCGGCAGGGCGACTGGCAGCGGCCGTCCTCGCACTCGTCGCGGTCGAGGCAGCGCGATCCCGCCAGGTCCAGGCGGAAACCGCGAGGGCACACGCAGCGATACGAGCCCAGCAGGTTTACGCACTTTCCCGGGGACGGGCATATACCCTCCTCGTGGCACTCGTTTATATCTGGAAGGGGGACGGCCGATTAGCGGGACTCCGACCGACACTTGCCAATGTTGTCACGATTCGGAGCGATCCATTCGACGCACCGATGCAAGCGTCGCCACGCTGCTCGTATCCCTCTTCGCAGGAGCACTCGAAGGAGCCGTCCGTGTTGGTGCAAGTCTGATGGCAGGTGTGGGTACCCCTCTCGCACTCGTCGACGTCCCGGCAGTTGGCCCCGTCCTCGTCCACCTCGTAGCCGGAGCGGCAGAGGCACTCGTAGGAGCCCTCCGTGTTGCGGCACAGCTGCTCGCAAGGAGACCTCCGAGACGCACACTCGTCGACGTCGGCGCACACGTCGCCCGCCGCTTTGTAGCCCAGGCCGCACACGCAGCGGAAGCTGGAAACGGAGGACGAAGATTGTCTCTAGGGCTATGGTTCAAAAATAATTCTCATCGAGCCTCAGCACCGGCATCGTCGGCGTCTTACCTTCCGATAGTGTTGACGCACCGTCCCGGCGCGCAGAGGCCGGGAATGGCGGCGCATTCGTCGACATCCCCGTACACGTCGGGGACGAGGCCCGTCGAGCCGTCGCTCCCCAGTCCGCCACCACCGATGCCGCCCTTGGGGATCAGGTTGCTGCGGGAACACAGCTCCATTCTCTCGGGAGTGCCCGGGACGGGACACAGCTCGCATTCCGGTCCCCAGGCCACGCCCAACGTGCAGCAACATTGCGCTCTGGAATTCGTTTTAATTACGTGCGTGAAAAGCCTTCGGCTGTTCGTCGTCGTCCTAGATAAACCGACGAGTGCTCACTTGGTGACTTGCGTGGCCGGCGCGGGCGTGGAGGCCGCGGAGCGAGGCCAAGGTTCCGGCACGCACCTGCCCGACACCAAGGATCTGTGACACGCTCCCGTTCGGTGATCTAAACGGGATGCGAGATTGTCGCTCATTATTATGGTCACGATCCGTCAAAACCTTTCGGACGTCGGAACGAGGAGATACCGATGCAGGAGCGTCCGTCTTCACTGGGCTCGTAACCGGCGTCGCAGTCGCAGGAGAAGCCTCCGTCCGTGTTGATGCAGACTCCGGGCGCACAGCGGTCTCCCTCCTCCGCACACTCGTCCACGTCTTCGCACGCGTCCTCCGCGTCGTGCGGAGCCGCCGTGCGTCTGTAACCTGCGGAACACGCGTGTTCGGGGAAACTTTACAAAATAAAAATTTCATATCATTCAGTGATAATTTCAATAAAAATCGCTAAATTTGTAATTGTAATTAAAACATATTTACCGTTGCCGAAAAAATGGCGAGAGCTTCGTTCGTGAAAGTTACCTAACCGCGACTAACCTTCGGGACACTTGCAGATATAAGATCCCACCACATTCTCACAAGCGTGAGGGCACACGTGGCGGTCCGAGGCGCACTCGTCGACGTCCCGGCAGTGGATCCCGTCGGCCGCCAACGTGAACCCGAAAGGACAGGTGCACCTAAACGAGCCCGCCGTGTTGTGGCAGCGGAACGAACACGCCGCGCGACCCTCCGCGCACTCGTCGACGTCCACGCACGTCTGCAAAGATTGGTCAATGATAGTCTTCGCCTATTTCATTCGACGCGGCGCGGAGAACTCGACTGAACGCCGACCTGCTGCGGGCCCTGCGTGAAGCCGTAGTTGCAGCGGCACTCGTAGCCCCCCGGGGTGTTGGTGCAAGTGCCGTTGCCGCAGATCCTGGGGTCGGCGGCGCACTCGTCGGCGTCCACGCAGCTCAGGCCGCCCGCGTCGAGCGCGTACCCGGGCCCGCACTCGCACCGGAAGGAGCCATCCGTGTTCACGCACCGTCCGCCCTTGCACACGTCCGGACGCACCTTGCACTCGTCCAAGTCCTGCGTCGTTCGAAACCAAACGTTGAATTGAATCGGCGACGATAGTAGACATCCTTTCGTTAAACGATATTTCCCGATCGCCGTTCACCTGAGTCAAATTGGGCCTCCCCATTCCTCCTTGACAAATTCGCAAAAACTCGGCTGAGTCGGGAGTCGGACAGCGTTCGCAGTATCTTCCCCAGGCGGCACCTGCAAATACAATTTAGCGAGTCAGCTTAGCTCGTGAACTAAGGAAATAGAGGTCAAAAGCGTTAAAGTCAAATACCTTCAGAGCAGCAGCACTCGGGTCTGCTGAGCTGCAGGGGCCTCGCGCGATGGCAGCGTCCGGCCGACCACTCGTCGTAGCAAAGCTCTTTGCGCTCGTCCACGCAGAGAGCGGCCGCTGCGTCGAAGCGCCACCCGGTGGGGCAGTCGCAGCGGTATCTACGGGCATCGTCAATTGTTACAAAAACTTGGCGAATGACTTCAAAAAGGATATTACTACAACTTCCATAAAGTTTTCAGAAAACCCGTTCTAAGGATCGGTCGTACCCTTTGGTGAGAGAAAGGTCTGGAGTGACTTTTCTAGAACAGAACGATGCGCGATAGAGTAATAAGACACGTTTTTCTTAGATTCGTAAGCACCACCACATTTATATAGAAGTGTAATTTTAACTTTGTCGCAACACTTAACTGCTGATAATTATTGGCATGTTTCAAAAATATCGGTTTCACTAACCCGCCGTCGAAGTTGTGACAGTCCCCTCCGGCGCAGACGTACTGCAACTCGCGGCACTCGTCCCGGTCCACGCAACGCCGACCCGTCAGCCGCCATCCGGCCCCGCAGGAGCACTCGTACCCGCCGTTGGTGTTGGTGCACGAGGGCGAGCCGTCTCGGCCGCAAGGGGCCGGCAGCTCCGTGCACTCGTCGACGTCCCGGCAATGGCGTCCGTCGGCCGTCAGAGTGTATCCGGCCGCGCACTCGCAGCGGAAGGACCCCGGCGTGTTGCGACAGCGCCCGTTGCGACACACCATGCCGCCTTCGCGACACTCGTTCACGTCTGAGAGCGACACCGTTCGTTTAGCTTTTCGTGTCCGACGAGCGTTCGAGAGGTGTTTTTTAAAAAAACACGTAACGTAACGAAAGACTGTTTAGTGTTTACAGTTCCGGTAAAACATTTCGATTAAAGCGAAACGCGTACACTAAGTGATTAAAGGTACCGAGCCGGACGTACCGATGCAATCGTTGTTGGCGCCGGGCTTGAAGCCCTCGTCGCAGTGGCAGACGTAGGAGCCGGGCCTGTTCTCGCAGGTGCCGTTGCGGCAAAGCGGCCGAGGCCGCGCGCACTCGTCCACGTCGCGACATGCGTTTTCACGCAGGGTGTAGCCGGGCTTGCATTCACACCTGGATTCACATGATCAAAACATTCATTCAACACGGGCATTTATCGGGATGGATTTAAACTAAATACACAGTAAAACTAATTATATTTCAAAAACTACTTATCGGAGATAAGACATTGAAAATTGATTACCGACAAAACACAATATCATAATTATTATACATTTGACAATCTAATAAATTTGACTAGGCTCTTGCAATCTTACAAAAAAATATAACAAAACGTTTTTTTATGTTACAGGAGGCAGACGGGCAGGAGGCTCACCTGATGTTAAGTGATACCGCCGCTCATGGACACTCGCACTGCCACTCGGGACTAATATTATTATTTTCTAATATTCACTCACGATGAATATCCGAGGACTTTAGAATTAAATCGTACTCAATCACTTATTGCGAACGGCGAGAAAGTGTCAGAAAGTATTAAGTCCTATTTCAAATACCTGTAGGATCCGACCGTGTTGCGACACTCCCCGTGTTCGCACAGTCGCTCGTCGTCGCACTCGTCGACGTCCTCGCACTCGTCCAGAGAATCGGTGAGCCGGTAGCCCGCCGGGCACTGCGAGAGAAAGGACACGTGACAGACGCGGGGAACCACCTCGTCCACTCTTCCTTTGATGTATCACTTCCGTGATGATTACCTTGCACTCGTAGGCTCCCGGGAGATTGACGCACTGTGCGAGCCCCCGACAGGGCGACCGATGCGACGTGCACTCGTCGACGTCGCGGCACAAGTGAGAGGTGTTGTCGTGCTCGTATCTGAAACACGAGAAGTCGTTCGAGGATTATTATTGTCTAAATGGCTCTCGAGGTAATTCAGGCCGATGTTTGCCTCACCCGTGGTCGCAGCCGCACTGGAAGCCCGTGGGCGTGTCGTGGCAAGTGCCGGGCTTGCAGAGCTGGGGCATGATGTCACACTCGTTGATGGGGCGCGTCTCGTTGGTCATGGGGTTGATGTACTCGCCGGGCTTCTCCCCGCAGAGAGCCACGTGGTCGGGCGATCCTCTCTCGGGGCATGCCTCGCAGGGGCTTCCCCAGGCCTTGCCCACCGAGCAGCAGCACAGGTACTTGGTCTGCGGCACGCCCACCGGCGACGAGCACCGTTCGCGTTCGAGCTCCCAATCCATGTAGCATTGGCGCTGGCGGACGTCCACGCACTCCTCTGTGGGCCGACGAAAGGATGAGTTGTAGGCGGGCAGGCCATCGAGGTAGCTCTCGGAACACGTCTCGTGACGATACTGACTTCCGTTAGGCATGGAGACGTAACCCTCGGGGCAGAGGCAGACGTAGGAGCCGGGCATGTCGCGGCAGACGCCGGGACCGCAGACGTCGGGCACGGCGCACTCGTCGATGTCCTCGCAGCGCAGCTCGTCGGCCGCCAACCGCCAGCCCTCGCCGCACGTGCACACGAAGGACCCGAACGTGTTCGTGCACGTGCCGTGCTGGCACAGCGACGGATGCTGCGAGCACTCGTCGATATCGGCCAAGGTCACAACGTACGACGGCTGAAGGGAAAACAAAACATGAATACTGTCGACTGAAAGGGGCACAAGATCGGATGTCGCGTAAATACTTACGGGTTCCAAAACGGGTTGATATCCAGGTCCACCTGGACATAGCTGTCTGTACGCTTCCGAGCCGGGCTCGGGACATAGGTCGCAGTAGTTACCCCACGCGGCACCTAGCAGCGAAACGTGTCAATGAAATCACTTACGGGTAGCTAATTAAAAATTACTATCGAACAGGCATATAAAAAAACAAAAAAGACTAACCGACGGAACAGCAGCAGGCGGCCATCGTGCCGTCTTCAGACAATTCGTCGCTGTCCCGGCACTGCTCGGTTCCCGAGCGAAGGTCCACTTTGCCGTAGCACCGGGCTTTGCGGGAGTCTGTATTACGATAATCATTTCAAAACGCGAAATGTTTATACGAACACGAGACATCGATACGAAGTTGAAGACGGAGTGACATTGAACGAGTACAATTAAAACGTACCGAAACAGGCCGTGCCGTCGGAGACCAGGTCGTAGTTGGGAGGGCAGCGGCAGAGGTAGGAGCCTTGCGTGTTGACGCACTCGCCGTACTGACACGACTGCGGGGACTTGCACTCGTCCACGTCCGTGCAGTTGAACCCGGGCATCACTGGGGAGAGAAAATAAATTTCTGAAATTCTGAATTTCATCCTCTTCAACGGTGACGCTGCGAGTCCACGGGGTGCACTCACGGTCGTCTATGCTGTCCGACTGGTAGCCTTTATCGCAGATGCACTTGAACATGCCGAAAGTGTTGACGCAGCGTCCGAACACGCAAACGTTATCGAACGTTCCGCACTCGTCCATATCTGGAATCGTTAAATATTATTAATTAGAAAACATCTCGCGTACCTAAGTGACAAAATGTCTCATTTGAATCCAAAACGACTCACCGAGACAAGACTTGCCGTCGTCGGCCTTGGTGAATCCGACGTCGCAGTCGCACTCGTAGCCTCCGGGTATGTTCGTGCAGTGACCGTTCTCGCACAGGGTGGGGTCGTTGGCGCATTCGTCGATGTCCACGCACGAGTATCTAAAGGCGAGGCCAGAGTCAACGGAGGCGAAACAACTCTCTGCTCGGGTCGTTCCGTTCGCCTAGCGGCTGATCGAAGCCGTCGATGCGATATCGGCACTCACCCGTCTCCCTTGTATCCCGTGTCGCAGAGGCACACGAAGGAGCCGTCGGTGTTGCGGCAAGTGGCCCTGGGATGGCATCCGCCATTGTTTGTCAAGCACTCGTCCACGTCCTCGCACTCGGCACCGTCTCCGCGCCAACCGTCCCGACAGCGGCACTGGAAGGAGCCCTGAGAAAGACATACGCAAATGTCAAAGGCGAACGTCCCTTGAAGTCGCGTGCCGTATGTATTTAAATCTTACGGGCAGGTTGATGCAGTCGGCGGCGGGGTGGCAGTCGCAGGTGCCGAGTTCGCACTCGTCGTCGTCGGTGCAGGCGGGGCCCTGCTCGGGCTTGACGCTGTACCCGTCGGGACAGCGGCACACGAAGCTTCCGATGGTGTTGCGACACTCGCCGGCGCCACAGAGGTCCGCTATCTGTGCGAGCAGACGGTCACGGTTAGATCGAGCCGGAGGGCGGAGGCGTCGTCGTCTCTCTCGCAGACTCACGTCGGCGCACTCGTCGACGTCGAGGCAGGTGGGCTTGGCGTCGGCCGGGGCGGGCAGCAGACCCTCCGCGCAGGTGCAGCGGTAGGAGCCGGGCGTGTTGCGGCACTCGCCTCCGCCGCACACTCGTCCGCCGCTCGCGCACTCGTCCACGTCGCGACACGACCGACCGTCCGCGCGCAGGTGCCAGCCTTCCCTGTATCACGTCACACTCTTTACTGAGCTGTCCTAGCCGACACCGCATTACACCGAAAGAGCCCGTCAATAAATACCGGCAGACGCAGTGGTAAGAGCCGGGCGTGTTGATGCAGTCGTGTTGACAGCGGGTGGGGTCCTCCGAGCACTCGTCGATGTCCTCGCAGTGGGACTTGACGGTGGACTGCGCGTATCCTTCGTCGCACACGCACTGGTACGTTCCCATCTGGTTTTCGCACGCACCGTTGCTGCATATGCCTGCGACAAACAAGCGAATAGGTGTCGCCACTTAACCGTTTCCTCAGCTCTGCCCCAGAACGGGGTATATTTAATATATAAAAATTGCCGCCTGTCAATAAAATAAATAAATAGATGACTCACCAGAAGTGATAGAGCATTCGTCGATGTCCTTGCAAGAGAGGCGGTCGGGCGCCAGCTCCATGCCGGCACCGCACTCGCAGCGGAAGGAGCCCGGCGTGTTCAGGCAGCGCCCTCCGCGGCACAACGCCCGGTTCTCTGCGCACTCGTTGACGTCTGCGCATGATTATTCCATTTTAACATTTCCAAATATAAAAAGTTCGAAAAAAGCAAATGGGAAAAAGGCGTGATAATATAAATCAATAAATCAATAATAGTCCTGAACCATCGAAGAAGAGTAAAGTGGGATAGCTAGCTACCCCATTCTAATAACTGATTGATAATATAATTATGTCGAAGATTACCTCATCAGCAAGTTGTTTGTGGAATAGGCCTACTGGGGATGCCATGTTAAAAAAAACGCGCCTACAGACTCTACCTCATAGGTGGCGGGGAAGTTCTGGTCTGTGCTTTTACGGTCCCAGCACGACATGTTTGCATCGCATGGTAGCACAGGTGCAGACCTACTCTACCAAATCCCTCTGATGGGTAGGGTGGCGTGGTCTTGGGGGGAGTGCAGGTCACTGAGATCCCCAAGGCAAGTTTGGTGGACTATCATTCTCGAGGTTGCCGACCCCGTTCTTGGTCAATTAGCCCTATGTACAAAGACGCGCAGCCACTCGAAACATAAGCGAATAATTGCAGGGATGGAGAGGTCATGTCCTTGGAAGTTCATTATCCAAACAAGATAGGATGGTGGACAGTAAATGACCTCCCGCGTGTTTGTGCCGTGCGCGGGGGATGAAGGAGTCCTGGGGGTTGAGTGTGACAGTGCGCCGGGAACAGTTGTGCGCTGCACACAACACGCCTCTTTGGTCTGGATTTCTCCTCACGCGGGAGGCCATGGACTAGCTACTCGTGGTCAACCAGCTGCGGTATCCCATAAGCACGCTACCCAGCGAGAGTCGGGGTGTGGAGGCGAATCGGTAAGGCTCGGACTCGGGGTGAGTTTGCGTCATCGTCTCGTGATGCGAACAGGTTACGTACTTCGCTTGCAGCGTACGGACGCGTCTGCCTTTCTACGCGCTGGCGCTATACCGGAGGAGTTGCTCTGGCGTTTGCTTGCTGAGCAAGTGAGGCACCTGACGGTGAGGACTCCGTGGCGGGTGGAGAGACCGTTGACGGTGAATTTATACTAACACCTCATGGACAAAGAGGCCTACAAACAATCAAACATGACAAGACAAGGCCACATCTAAGGATGTGGAATCTACCAAACAACACAGACCATGACCATGACCATGGTTTTGAGCTCATCAAAGAGGCGACGGCTCAAGATGGTCAGGAGGGCGGCAGAACGGCAGGAGCTGTTAACTGCTGCTCAAGGACCACTTGTAAACCCTAAACCAGCCCCTGGAGCTATCAGGGCAACAGGTGGTAGGAGATGGGCACCGAAGCCGACGGCGTCGAATGCCGCGCTAAAGCCTAACGGCTCCAAGTGCAGCACGAGACCCGACCCTAACAGCAAAAATCCAAAAATCAACGAACAAGAGAAGGGCCAGAAACGTGTACGGCCAGAGGACTCCGTAACGCCGCCTGGGGAAAAGGTAAAACCAAATCAACCTCGCACGTTGGGGCACAAACCATAAGTTGATTTAGCATAGATAACAAGAGTTAGTGTCCTGTAATGACCGAGCCCATCCATGACTGGCATGTAACTGGTGAAGCTATCATGCCTACAGATCATAAGGTGGATCCGCTTTGCACTCCTCAAAGGACCTAACCTAATGACCACAGCTTCAAAGAATACTTCGGAGAACTGGAGTCAGCAAAATTGCACTAAACTGAGTGGCAGCTCCGAGATAGTAAAACCAACCCCATTACCAGACTATCATTGATGCCACATCAGACATCCAAATTATGGCTTTATCGAGAAAAGTCACAGTCACACCAAGAGACGATTTTGAACGCCACTTAAAAATAGATGTTCGCATGAACGGAATTTTTTTGTAAGATGGATAGTTTAGGAGATATAGCCAAAAACGTGTTTTCACCCCTTTTTCCAAGATGGCAGCCGGGGGACAAAGGCTCCAACCCCACAAACTTGGGTTTAAGCTTTCATTGACCCCCTCACATGTCCCATAAATAAAATTGCGTCCTCTAACAAATATTCAGCAAATGTAACATTTCAATGAACTAAGGGGGGATTCATTTTTAATTTCATCGCGCGAGCGGTTGTTAGACTTTGTTCATGTCACTCACCGACGCAGACTTTGGAGAGATCGTCGGTGCGGTATCCGTCGCGGCAGACGCAGCTGAAGCCGCCCTCGGAGTTGCGACACTCTCCCGCCCCGCACACGTTTTCCACGATCTCGCACTCGTTCACGTCCACGCAAGTGTGGTTTTTCGAATCCTGCAATTTCGCATAACTAACTCGAAACGCAGTCTTAATACAAATGTTCAAAGAAACGAGAAGAAAGCGGCCTCTTCACTGAATCGCCTACTTAACTTATTATTCTCACCTGTTCGTAGCCCGGGAAGCAGTCGCAAGTGAAGGTACCGACCATGTTCCGGCACCTGCCGTGCCCGCAGAGGCCGGGGAAGGCCGCGCACTCGTTGATCTCCATCTGACTAGGCGTGACGCCGGGCCTGTCCGGTCCCCAGCCGTCCCCGGTTCCGTTGCCCCACGCGTTGGTGTGCCCGTCGTCCCAGCCCGTACCGAAACCGTCTCCGTTTCCGTCTCCGGTTTGGCTCCAGATATCGGTCCCGTTAGGCGCGCCCGGCCCGCCGGGCCCGGTCCAGACGTTCGGAGGGCCGCTCGCGTCAGCTATGCAGAGGTTCCGATGCGCGTCCGTTCCTTGAAATACAGTTCAGTGGAATCAAGGATGTGATCCTCAGTATAAGCAAGTGCTTTCATATTAAATACACGAGAGAAAAAAACGGCAGGTTACTGTGTATGAGCTTGACGGCGCACCATTGAAGAAGGTTCAGGAGATTCGTGACTTGGGTGATTCGTGAATTGAGAGAAAATTATCGTTTATATCTCAATTTTTTTTTTTTAATTTTATAACAATAATGGTAAACATATATTCATATGTTTTTGAAAAGATATCTTGAAACATATACTGGAGATATAGCATTATGTAAGATGTGAACTTCATTAAATTAATCAAATTCGCCACGAAACTCACCTTTCTTGGGACAAGGCTCGCAGCGCGAGTCTCCCCAGGCCTTGCCCAGCGAAGAGCAGCAGCAGACGGCTCGGTGCACTTCCAGCCGAAGCGGTCCCGAGCAACGTCCCCCGACCCAGTCCGTGTAGCACATCTCGCGGCGCGTGTCCACGCATCGGTTGCCTGATGAGTCCCAGAGCATAATTGTAATTACGTAATGAAATGAATATAATATATTTTATTTTGAACTCTGTCTCACCCGAGGCGTCGAGGGCGAGGCCGGCGGGGCACTCGCAGCGGTAGGAGCCGTCCGTGTTGACGCACCGTCCGCCGGCGCACAGGTCGGGGTCCAGCATACACTCGTCCACGTCGCGACAGTTCACGCCGTCCAGCTGCACAGTTTTAATATATATCGGAACAGTTTCAATATAATAAATATCGGAGCCTCACTATCGCTCCGTTTCGCAATATCTCGACGGCTGACCTTGGCGAATCCCTTGGGGCACGGGCAGTCGTCGGGCTCGCAGGGCTCGCACGGGGAGCCCCAGGCCAGTCCTACGCTGCAGCAGCACTCCTGTCTGAGAAGGGGCGCGGGGGCGGCGCCCTCGCACTGCCCGTCCACGACGCGGCGCCAACACGACCCGCGACGGTTGTCTGCATTGCGTTTGCATCAATTTTAACCGAAGACTTTCAATATCTCAACGCGAGACGAAAGAAAGAGAGACTTCGCGTGACATACCGAGACAGTGCTGCGCAGACGCATCCAGGACGAAGCCGTGTTCGCACTCGCACTCGTAGCTGCCGTGAGTGTTGATGCACCGTCCGTTGTCGCAGGGGTTCGATTGTTCTGTAAGGTTTTGATAATAATAACCACTTTCGTCTAACATGAATTGCCAAACTACTGTGAATGTAGTCGTCTGATGAAGCGGTGCCCTGAATCTGATGATAGCGTGCAAATGAGTCATAGCTTCATTCTCAACTAGACGTTTGAATGAGAGTGCCGATTCAAGCCGATGCCGTCGATCCCTTCATGCCCGGGTGAGATCTCGAAAACGGAAGTCGACGACTCGAGATGGCCCCGGCCTTATTCATGGTCATGCTCGGTTAGATGTCCGCGTGTTAGGCGTGGGACGCGGGGCGAGAGTCGGCGGGCGGAGAGTAACCTGCGGGGAGGGCGCGGGGCGGGATGTCCCCGCGCTGGGGAAGGTCCGACGGGGGCTCACCCTCGCACTCGTCGATGTCTCGGCAGAGCTGCTCGTCGGGCTCGTAGCGAGTGCCGCTCGGGCACACGCACGCGAAGCTGCCCAACGTGTTTCGGCACTGCCCGCCCGTGCAGTACTGCGGAGGAAGCGTTTCTTCGAATAAAACGGAGACGGGCCAGAGATAGATAAACTCAAACTCAAAATATCTTTATTCAAGTGGGTAACCAAGTTCACTTTTGAATTGTCAAGTTAAATTAATTGTAAATTAATTACATTTACTACCAGTTCGCAAGTCAAGGGCGTAGAGCGGGTAAGAAGAACTGGCAAGAAACTTTCCGCTACTCTTTTTAATCGCCGAGTATTGTCATACAAATTGTTTGAACTGGAGCAAATAGATGTCCTGACCGATGATGTACTGACCGACTGGTGCATATCGCACTCGTCGACGTCTCGGCAGATGCCATCCTTGTCGGGATGGTATCCGGGGTCGCAGATGCATTTGTATCCGGGCTCCAAGTTCTCGCAGGTGCCGTGGGGGCAGACGCCGGGGATCATGGTGCACTCGTTGATGTCCGTGCCGGCGTTGTCCTTGCTGGAGCCCTCGGGACATAGAATCTCGTAGTCCTGGCTACCGCGAGGGGGACAGGCCTTGCAGGATACGCCCCAGCCCAGGTGCAGACCTGTAGGAGTCACTCGTTGTAACGACGCTTTATTCCATTTTTCCTACATATCGGCATTCACTTCAATTGAACAACAACCTTTGCTGGCACTGCAACAGCACTGCGAGCGAGTGACGGGCGTGGTTCCGGGTCCGGTGCATTGGCCGTCTTCGTATTTCTCGTAGCACAGGTCTTGGACCTCATCTGGAATCGCACGTCATTCGATTAACGAGGAGATACAACCGATACGTCAGACCGACGAGGAAAGCGTAGTCGGGGACGTTACCTAGGCAAGTGCGTCCGTCGTTGCTGAGCGTGAACCCGGGCAGGCACTCGCAGCGGAAGGAGCCGGGCGAGTTGTGGCACTTCCCGTTCCGACACACCCGTAACTCGGAACACTCGTCCACGTCCACGCAGGCGGCTCGGTCGGGCGTCGGACGGTAGCCCGCCTCGCACACGCATTGGAACGAACCCTCGCCGTTGACGCAGCGACCTCCCTGCGGGCGGGACGTCGAGTTCAGCGGACACGTCGAAGGCGAACGGTCTCAGGGAGAACGTACGAAAGTCTCCATTACCTGGCACAGCGACCGGTCGGCGCACTCGTCGACGTCGGCGCAGTACCCGGCGGCGGATCTCGCGAAGCCCGGCTCGCAGACGCACTCGTATCCGCCGGGCGTGTTCCGACAGCGTCCCCGACGACACACTCGCGGGTTGTCGGCGCACTCGTCGACGTCGCGACACGCGTGACCCGTCTCCGTCGACTCGTAGCCCGGGTTGCAGGTGCACTCGTAGCTGCGCAGCGGCAAAATCATTCATAACAACCAAGCAAATTATGTATTTACTAGCTGCCCCCGCGAACTTCGTTTCGCCTTAATATTTTTTTTTTATTTAACCCACCTTTAAGTAGCTATACATGCAACATTTTTCTATGCCCCATAGAGAATGTTCACTTTAACGGAATATTTTTTTTTTATTTATGTTCTCAGAGTTCAAGGAATAAATAATAAAAAATACTCGCAGTAAAGTCGAAGTTTGCACTTAGTACCATATTTATTTACAAATAAAAAATAAGGGTTGATCGTAGAGGGGTGAAAATTTAGGGTTAAACATATATAAAAATAAAAAATGTATCTAAAAAATTAAAAAAAAAATGTTTCTCGGGTGGACACCCCTTTTCACTTAGGGGTTTGAAAGATAGAAGATAGATAGTAGCCGATTCTCAGACTTAATGAATATGCATAAAAAATTTCATCAGAATCGGTCGAGCCGTTTCGGAGGAAAGGAGGTATGGAAACGAACATTGTGACACGAGAAATTTATATAATAATATAAAAATAATTTATGTTTAATTCTTACCCGCCGTCTACATTCGTGCAAACGCCGTTAGTGCACATCCCTCCGTTCGTCATTTCACATTCGTTTTTGTCACTGCATCGCTGACCATTTTCTACGGGATCGAAACCGGGCGGACATCTAAAAGATCATAAAAGTTATTAATAAATAATGAATCGAAAGCGCCACGAGGGGGCGTGAGCCCATACCTGCAGGTGAAGCTGCCGGGTGTGTTGACGCAAGAGCCGCCCTTGCAGTACTCGAGGGCGCACTCGTCGATGTCGATGCACGTGGGGTTGCCGTCTTGTAGCGTGCTCTCTGCACCCTCCCAGCACGAGCAGGAGTACCTGGGTGACGTTGGATATGATCGTTAACGTTATAAACTTTTACGCTTCGCAGATCAGTTGGTGTCGAGAAGGATGTCGAAGGACGTGCATATATCGCGACCGGAACTCACCCGACATCCTTGTCGATGCAGTCGCCGAGGCCGCAGATGCCGTTCCTGAGCATGCACTCGTTGATCTTGGCGATGGGGTGAGGGACGTCGCTTCCGTCCCCGAAGCCCATAGTCGTGTCGTTGCGTCTCCAGTCGGGAGGGACCGCGCCTCCGCCGCACAGGTGCGTCCACTCCACTGCAAATTAACGCTTCCTTGAGCACACCGCGACGGATCGACGGGACGATAGCGGTCGGTCCCCCGGAACGGACGACTCACCTGATCCCCGCGGCGGGCAAGGCGCGCAGAGGTCGCCCCAGGCCCTGCCCATGTTGTATCCGCAGCAGCAGTCTCTGTTGGACAGAGACATGGGCAGACGGTCTCCGCACTCGCCCGTCTCGCCCAGATACGTGAAGCAGTTGCCCACGCGACCGTCTGCAAAGGTGAAATTTCTTTTAGGCACTCGTTATGTTTAAATAATGGATAAAACCATTTCAGTATCGCTCACCGATGCAAAACTTCTTATCGGGACTCGGAATGAAGTGAGGATTGCACAGGCAGTAGTAGTCACCCTCCGTGTTAACACATTTTCCATTCTGTAAGAGAGTGGTATAGAGTTAATTTTGAATAGTTAAAACGGTCGAAAAACTGAATAAAACCGACGAATGGCGACAGACCGGACAAATATCGGGGTCCTCGCACTCGTCGACATCCTCGCAGTTGTTGGTGACGCGATGCCTCCGTTGGCCCGGAGGACACTCGCACGCGAAGGAGCCGACGGAGTTGATGCACTTGCCGCCCTCGCAAAGCCCGGGCACCGCCGCGCACTCGTCGATGTCCTGATCATTAACGGTATTATGAAAATCGAAGAGCCCGCGGTAGACTTGTTTTGTCGAGTAAATTCATGAGACTAGCCTGGCACTCCTTGGTGGCCAGATTCCGCAGGTGTCCCGTGGGGCAGTCGAGGTCCCCGCAGCGTTCGCAGGGATGGCCCCAAGCCACGCCCACGGTGGCACAGCACAGCTGCTTGGTGCACACCACGCCCTCCAACGCGCCCGTGCACAGCGCGCCACGAGTGTCCGTATAGCACGGCCCTACGATGATGATGATGATCATAAAACAATACAACTTAGGTCGGAGGAAGAGCAGCATCTCCCTTCCTCCACTACATTAACATCACTTTTACATAAGTATGTAACAGCCTAACAATAAAATGTACCTTAATGTTTTGATACTAGTAGGTATATTCATTAATAAAAGAGTTAATCATTGCATAAACAAACAAATTTAGATATCCTCAAATGTAGCGAAATGCGTCAGTCAGATGACATCATTTTGATCGGGATCGTGTGAAACTGTAAACACTGAAACTACTGTGCACAGGCCAATGCCGAATGCGCGAAAATTATGATCAATCTTTTAATTACTAAACCATTGATAATGGCTATAATTTTTCGCTGAAATTTAGACTGAGCTGAATTAGATTAATTAGTAAATAGGTTGTGTGAATGAGAAATGGCTGCATGTACCCTACATGTCTTGTCTGCCTAATTTATTCGGTGCCTTACATCTGAATAAATATGAATTGATTTTTTTTACCAATTACTGCACTTTTAAAGAACTCCGTTACAGACTATGGCCCGTATTGGAGCAGTGAGAAGACGCAACTTTCTGTAAAAACATTATCTGCCGTCTAACAGTCAAATTTAATATGCCAAATGAAAGTTATTCGGATGTGGCTACATTATTAGACAAATATTCATTCAGCAAAAAAAATCCACTCCGAAAAAAAATGTTTTTAAAAGAAAATTAAGTTTTTATCGGTTTTTCTTATTTTTTTTCACCTATGAAATACTTGCAAACTGAACTTTTTGAACAAAAAATAGTTGGTTACCTTATGGGGTTTCAAGAGCAAAACAATGATCTACCTGTTCGTCGATCGATTTCGCAGCGTGTTCCAGATAGGCCGTGGAAGCAAACACAACGGTCTGGGGCTATACATCGCCCACCGTGGAGGCATGGCTCTCGACATATTGCTGAAATTCATTACTTCTCTTACAAGGGTGGAAATAACTACTGCTATGATAGTCTTTAAATCATTAAAAATTACACAAAGAGTTAAAATCAAACATCCACAAAAAATATTGGAAATAATAATTTATAATTTATTTCGAGTTGAAAAACATGTACAACAATTTAAAATATATGTGACTCACGTTCAGTACAAAATTCCCCGGACCAGCCGGGTGCGCAAGCGCATGTTCCATTAGTGCACGTTCCTCCATTCATGCAGATTCGACGGCAGCCACCGCGTGGTCGTGCTGGAATTGTCTCAATAATTTATGACCACGGTCAACAAGTTCCCATTTTATTTTAATTAAAATCCTAATAAGCGTAAAGTTATTGTGGCGCCAAGAGCAAACTCACTGCGTTTACTATAACATGTTAAATATAGTTTCCTAAGATAAAGTATAAAAATCTTGACGTATTACGTGGATAGGAGTATAGCGCTCCGCCTGCGCCACAAGATGGCGCCTCGAGGCCTCCAGGACACCGGCACATGTTCGGCGCTATGCACGAACCGGGCGAACCGCAATCCGGCCGGCACAAAGCTGAAACAAGCGTCAGTTGAATTTCCCAGGGTAACGAAAGTTAATGACGTCAATTCGGCGGTTTTTAAATTGTAAATAACAACTTACGGACTACACAAAGTAAAGAATTAGGTCTCGACGTCCATCCTGGACAGCAATGCGTGCTGTTCCTGCTGCGGCACACGTGGGGTCTGCAAATAAATATTACTTTACAATTTAATATATTTATGAGGTGCAGGAACTTCTAAATCATGTTGTTGAACCCACCCATATGTCAAGTTCTCCACAGTAATACAATAAGGGCGCCGCCACCGAAATTATTTATCTACATAAATTTCTTACTACGTTTGAAGTTTCATTTTACGCTTTAGGTTTTAGTTTACATTAATTACTCAGAGCTTAGCGAATCAAAAGAAAGGCCGCTGTGACCGTGAGTTTTTAGTTGTTTATGTTTATGATTTAATAATTCGAATACCTTGATAATCAAAATGACTATTTTTTATTAACAAATTCAACATTTTATTTTAAATTTATGTCGAATTAATAAATATTTTTAATAATATGGATTGTACTACTGAGTTTCACACGAAGGCAAATTAGTATGATAATAAGATTTGTCAACTTTAAATTAAATAGAAAGTTAAGAATAAAAGCATTTCCTAGCTTTCCAATTTATAATAGCACTTTCTCCCAATTAGATACAACTACTGTAAGTCATTTTATAAAAATAAACGAAATTAATTTGGACATAAAGAATTAAGGGGGCAAGGCTATGATAATGGCTCAAATAAGTAAGGTAAGAATATTGCGGGATGTAAATCTCCCATTTTTATGTCCGTGCCAGCCATAGTTTAAATTTAATAATAAATGACCTCACATCTCATAACGACTGGGTTTTTAATATTGTGCAAGAACTATATAAATATTTTTCGTCCTCTACTAAAAGATAGGATTTATTACAAAGATATGTCATAAATCTGACCTTAAAAAGGTTAGATAAAAATAACATCATAAATAAACTATGTAAAATTTAATTCGCGTTTTATTTTACACGGCAATTGGCCAGCGGACGTTTAACCTATTAAGTGGATTTTACGTTTTACCTATAAACTAAAGAAATTTTTTTCTTTCGGACAAAAATTAAAAAATACATTGAAACTTGAAGATTCTTAAAAAATAGGCCGAAATATAGAAGGAGTTCCCTCAAAGGCCTGCAACACACCCGCTAAAAATGTCTATGAGATTCAATGACTGCCATTTTTGTCCGTCCCTAAGGCTCGTTTGACCCCTATAGAAAGAGGAGGCGCTTCATAGGTTTCGCACACAGGCGCGCGGGGGGCGGCCTGGTTGAACCCAAGAGTACTCGTTTTAAAACTTCTTTAGTTATATTTGTGAAGTAAATAAAAATAATGTGTCTTCAGTTTAATTGCACATTTTGTTAGCAGATAAAGCGGACCGGCGACATAATGAGCGGTCCGAATGTCGTAATTAAGACAGGACGAGGGTAAGTGGCGCGGCGCTAATGCCCAGAGGTCGCCCTGACCGCACGTGCTCAACTGTCGCAAACTATCACCACCACGGCACAAAGCTTGTTATGACCGTACTCACACGATGTATATTAACTAATTAGGGTGCCAAATAAGGCCAATATTTTCTAAAACCAAATGCAACAACAAGCTACCATATCCACTAAATAACGTTACAAGTAATAAATGAGTTCTGAGAGAGCTGTTCCAGCCAAGGCTGTACATTTAACACACTCAGGCTTTCTTAGTTTTATAACGGTGGCAATTTCCTAAATCGTTAGAGTTACGCCCCGAGAGTATAGCCAAACGTAGGCACTCTCTTCAACTGTTACATTGCATTCAATCGTTTCGTAGCAATTAACATTTCATTATTTCACTTATATTATATTGTTGTACGAGGTGGTTAATATAGAGTAAAAATAAAATCCTCTATTTAAACCACCTCGATGACCCAGGAACCGTAGTAGCGAAGCAATATTTTGGCTGCCAAAAAGGAAAACAAATTGAAAAGTCTTTTATCTCTTAAACTGATAAGAATTCAACGATATCTTTAAAATTCTACCTTAATTGCAGTAACGGTGTTAAATTAATGAGGTCTAGAGGAATTAATAATGTTATGTCCTATTACTGCTGACCGTCTGACCTAATATCTCAACAAGTGTGAAAATACAAATGATCAGTACAGCCTTGTGAGTGCCGGTCTCACGTTGATATCAGAGGCGCATCATTTGCTATGCCTGTTGATTATTCAGCTAATTGCATTTGGGTCAAAGGGTCACACATCCTATTATTTAATGCTTCGTAATTATTATATACGTCAATGGAATCTTTTTGCTCGGTTAACAGTCAGCTATGATTAGGGCATATTTATGTACATTCAATTAATCATATCAATCCCATTATCATCCTACCTGGCTGCCCAAAACGGTTGAAGACCAAAACACTTACATTGAGGAGATGTTTAAAAAAATGATTTTTATTTCTAAACTTGTAATAAGTACATTTTATTTATATTTAAAACATGTGAAAATTTCATGTTTCTTTCATTTAATTCAATAAAAAAATAGTGCAATATCAAAACTACTTTTATTCACTAATGCAATTTTTTAAAAAATCCGACTATCCGAATATTTGATTATCCAATGGGTCCCTCCATTAATTCGGATAATTGGAGTTCTACTGTATATGAGTGAGCTTTGAATTTATGTATACAAAAGTTTTAGTATTGTAATTATACAAGGGTAAGAATATTGATTGTCGTTTTAGCAAAAATATTTAGTCATAAACCCAGGTTTCTTGCTCTAAGTCTTATTTATAGTAACAATTGCCCCTTTTGGGTACACATTCATTTACTTTACGCGGCGGGAATGAGCCCTTTCGGCTTTCTAGTGATACTGTGGATCGTATCGTGTAAGTCAAGAACGGTCTCAGACAAATCATAATTTCTCAGCATTATGGTCCTAATATTTGGATCAGAAGAACTCACATAAAGCTAAGGTAAAAAGCTTAAATCCACAAACCAATCCAATTTTTCAAAACAACCTCGTCTGTCGAATAGAAACATAATACCTATAGCCAAAATCCAATAAAATTTAACGACACGTATTATTTCCTTACAGAAACCTTGCAAAAGTGTCATAATAGTGGGTTTACATTAATTATAATATTCTTGAGCGGACATGAATGACGTCTTGATGACCGCTTACAAGATTAGCACAAAATATTAATATTGCTGAACTAGTTCTTTTGCGTAACCAAAACTATTTACTAATGGAATTATAGATTATATGAAATGTACGAGTGTGGGTTGGTATCACGTATGTAAATGAAAAAAGGCTAAATCAAGAATTCAATCGGGTTTATACCGAACAAAAGTTAAATAAAAATAAATCAGTGGCGCTACAACCTTTTTAGGTCTGGGCCTCAGATTTCTGTATCTGTTTCATCATCATTTGTCAATCTAATAGGCAAGGTGATCAGCCTCCTGTGCCACACGCCTTCGAGTTTTTGGGTCTAAGGCAAGCCGGTTACCTCCGGATGTTTTCATCATTCGAGCGAATGTTAAATGCGTACATAGAAATAAAGTCCATTAGTGCCCAGCCGGGAATCGATCCTACGACCTCAGGGATGAGAGTCGCACGCTAAAGCCACTAGGCCAAAACTGCCCTGGACAAACGTGAAAATAAACAATACGTTTTTGACTAAGCACTGATGTATTATTTCCATGATCCGTATATAAAATCAGATAATGCACATAAAGTGCATTCCACGCTAACGCACGTAAACAAGGAAAGCGATTCCATCGCGCGCGTGTCAATATGCCGACACAAGGCGGTTTTAGCTTAAAGCTTACCTTTTAAACAAATTCAGTCATGTCAGCTGATATCAAGATACCCATTTGGTAGGTTATCTGGTTGACGAATAGCTAATAAATATAGACCAGGATTTTTTAATATACAGGATATACCTGTTATTGAATAAGCTTAGCCATTTCGTAACAATTTTACTTGAATTTTATTAAATTGTCACTGCAACATTTCGATAACTAAAGTAAGAAATTTTGGTGACTCAAACCAAAATTTCAAATTTCAAATTTAATCTACGGAGGGTCAAAAAGATTGAGTAGGAATATCGAAAAGATGGATACCGCTGAAAATTATTGACAGGGACAAAATATATAGGAAACTAGAAGCGGCCTTCGCCCGGATGGGTCCTTCCTATATTTATCCCGTTCTATCTAAACTAGTAAAATAGTAATAACCAATCTGTAGTAGTCCATCCAGAATGTTATTGAAATTTATGATTTCGTTTCGTTGTTTTTTTTTCTATGAAAAGTTCATTATACACATTTATAACAGATCCGTTTTTAGTATATTTCTAATATGAAATAAGCCCGAGACAACCCTAGATGAATGTTAGTGATTTAAGCTCGCATTGCCGACATTCCTCAACTCATTGAGTGAGTCATGATTTGTTTCGCGGCAGATGGCTTTGTTTTTGTGCACTTGCAAATAGATAATTCCACAAAGCAATCCCGACAATGTCAAAGGAAAACCTGTCAATTTCAATCTCAACTGATGGCGAGTATTCCTACCGTTACAACACGAAAGTCAAACAGTCCCGAAGCCCTTCTTGAAGCAGACTCATGCAGAGCAGCTCCATGGAATACTAATAGGTATATTTTGTTGAGTTAGGCGAGTAGGTGTTATCCCTAGGAATCGAACTTCCGGATGAGGAAAAAGAATGACCGTTATAAAAATATTAATAACTGAGGTGAAATTAAAATAACCGAATAAATTAGTTTCAATAAAAGTCAAGAAGTAGTCATAGTCTACTTAAAGCCACTCTAGAAAAGATGCGTTTGTAAATGGAGCAACATAAGACAAACCCAATTGACAGCCACGCGTTACAATCAAGCTGTTCGGACCGCTCGACGCTCCTTTGATCTATTACATCTTATTATTGATTAACTATCCAATACATGTGAACATTATACAAATAATTATGACTTGTTTATATGCATATATATTTTCTGTGTTGCATAAATAATGACAAATAACAGTTTAACTATTCATAATATTGGTAAATAAAATCTGAAAAAAAAGTAATAAGAGATATTATGAAACTCACCCTACAAATTGCGTTGTTGATCTATCTGCTAGTGTTCGTGCCCCGCGTTGCCAATGCCTCGGGCGCGGCGTGTTCTGCCGGGGGTCGGCGGCCGCCGCTGCAACCACCAGCGCCAGAGCCACCAATCGGAGTTTCATTGTGACACCATCACCCTGGGAACACAAATATACCGTGAACCTAAGTAATGTATGAAGATGTAAAATGGTCTTTTAATGATAATTTATAAAACGCAAGAAGTTTATTCAACTTGCTTATTATAACGCATTGCTTTTAACGATTTCAATTGCAACATAAATTCAACTTAAACCCTCAATTAAACCACTTAAGTGGCCAAAACAAGTTAATCTCCGACACAAGAGGGGTACAACAAAACAATAGTTGAAACAATGAGAGACAGATGGCTAGAAGCCGCGGGGGGAGAATCCGTGCCGAAATGATAACGACGGCCGACGACCCGGCCAATACGATACACACATTCTATATTTAGTAAACAATCTAATTTTTACGACAATCCTGCAGATGGCATCTTACTAACACGGAAGCGCTTAGACATTTTTATATCTACCACGATTAATTTATATCAGATTACTGCAACTTAGCGTTTTTAACATAGACTGCAACTTCATATGGGACTATGTTTTTTTTTTATGTAACAGGAGGCCAATGGGCAGGAGGCTCATCTGATGTATAGTGAGTTTACCGCCACCCATAGACTCTCAGATTGCCAGACGGCTCGCAAGAGCGTTGCCGGCCTTTTAAGAATTGTACGCTCTTTTCTTCAAGAACCCTAAGTCGTTTGTAACTACTTATTGGTTCGGAAATACTTAATTGCTCAAATTAAATAATATAAAAATAGTAAATTAGTGAGACTAGAGTTTTCTGCGCCTTACTTGCTATATGTTAAGGTGTAGGCTAAGATCATGCCTGCCTAAACGATGCTCAATTGCTCTTCTCTTCATAATTATTCGCCTATCTTAATTACATTTCTAAAATCTAAATAACTTTTATATTTGAATTTATATGTTTAGGGACAAGGTCGCATCTTTTGTAGGTACTGCGACACGAGTAGAGTAAGGAAGGCATCGTGGGCGGGCTGACTCATGCGCTGCAATCACTGATCACTGTTCACCGACATGCTCTAGTATGTGATTCCATATCAATAACCACACTGGTCAGTACTAAGTGCCGGTTGTGAGATTAAAAGGCAAATTGGATATTTAAACATACATCATAGTAAAAAATAAGTACATGTATGTACTACTAAATAACTATATGACCGTTGATATCACTACATAGTATAAAACAAAGTCGCTTTCTCTGTACCTATGTATGCTTTAATCTTTAAATCTACTAGTACTAGTATAATATGTCTACCTCTTATGGATATCCCACAATAACATTTCTTTGTCATTTACTTTTTACGACAAATAATGGCTAATTTTCGAAGCGATTTTAACCAATACAGCATTAATCCTTATCCAATTAAATACCTTAAATACATTTTGATTTAATATAGATCTATATGGCCCTTTACAGCATATGATTTAAATGAATATTTTCGAAGATATTACAAATTTAAAAATTGCGGGACGCAGCGCGTCGGTGGCCGCGGTTCTCCCTATACTCTATAGCACTTTGAATTTAGTATCAGCATTGCATCCGTGCGAAACCGGGGCGGATCGCTAGTGCTTGTATAAAAGAAATCAAACGCTGCCTTATGTTAAAAAAGTTCTGATGAACTGGACGCATGGCAGTAGGTTATTGTTATCAGACACGATTACCAATGTTGCTTTTAATTGATATTTATTAAAATAAATTGCTTCATATTTCTATGAATTCATATTTTAAGATTATAAATTTAATTGAAAACATGCGAACAGATAGAAAATACACTGTTAACATTTAATAGTGAAACGTCAAAGGTTTAAAGAATATAAAAAAGATCAAAGATCTTAAAAAAGGGGATAAATATTTAGCTAACAAATACCGTTACTCAAGGTTAATTTTCAACATGGACGGGACTCTGGGGCAAGTTCATTACGGTCTATTCATTTGAGGCAGGACTCTGTTTACGTTCGACCATCTCTCGATATAAGTGTTTTGGTTTGGGAGAAATAATAACCCTACATTTTGGAATGAGAATAAATAGTGATTAAAGTCAATGTATTACATAATTTATCACAAGTGCGTTTAACCGTGTACTTTCGCATTAAAAATAGTCCGCCAATCGCGGGTCAAGCATTAATTTCAATAAAAATGATAAAACAACAATAAAGTAAATATATCAGTGACAAAGTCTCGTAACACTGACCTTAGATAAGATTTACGTTCTTAACTTTTGTGCATTGAATGTGGGCCACTCCAAACGCTTGAGATTGCATCTATATTAAATCGATTGGACAGTTTAGATCTTGTTATTAAGGCAGTCAGGGGCCAGGACTGAATTTTAATTTTTTAAGGACACACGCACCCTTTAGCGGTGATATGGGAACAATTAAATGGTCAGAAATTGAAGTATTGTAGTGCGCGTGCAATGCTCACGAGGGGTCATTAGCGACAATACACGCACTTCGGATATGCTCCGTTAAACTAGATCGTGCCCACACAAGTTGCACTCCGTCTTTATTGTCAAGTTGTTTCAAATACCCCACATACTGTAGAGAAGTATGTAAAGTGTAAAAATATTTTAAATTGTATATTTATGTTAATATAATGTTTAAAATAGTTTATACTTTACAAGTATAAACTATTTTCTTTTCATTTAAATCTAATATAAAATACAAGAAGGAAATGATTATCTTGAAAGATCAATTAATAAATATCTCGATAAGCCAGTAGATGAAACTAGAAGTAATTCAAGCGCAATGATCCTCAATTGATCGGTTAATAAAGATGCGCGCACGCCGCGCGAGGACTAGTCATTTGTTACAACTCAACCCCGACTTGTAGCGCAGTGTTGTACTTATTATTGGTCCTTATTTTATATTCGTAGCATTAAGGCCACGTATAACGTTACCAACTTACACCTGTTCATACGAAAATGTACTTACATCTGTTTTACATGCGTGTATTATGAATATTGACGAGATTTAAAAAACAGTATGGAAAGAAGTACAACAAGAGGAAAAAGGAAAGATAAAATAAAATTAGGCGATTTTAAAATAAAAACAAAATACCAACAACTAAAATGGAGATGGACGAGGTATGATGAGAGAAAAGAAGCAAAAATGGAACAGAATTGTAACGGAATGGGAAACGAAAGAGAGGTAGGCAAATAAGAAGATGGGAGGACGATATTAAAATTAAAATTATATAAAAAAGGTAGCGGGTCTTATGTGGATTCGAACCGCAAGAGAACGCCACGATTGGAAAAAATAGTGGAGGCTTTGTCGAAGGACAAGCTGTAAAGGAATAGATAGGAATGAAGGGAGAAATATTACTATATATTATAATTATTTAGCATGCAAGCTAACCGAGCAAACAGCACTAAAGGATTTTTATTTTATTAATTTTATATTGACATATTTATATGTTTTTTCATTTATATAGAACAATTAATTTTAATAAATAGAAATATAGATATGTGGTTGTTATTAGATACTGTTTTTATTATATTAATAGAAATGGTATACAGACAATAATTTACACAGTATGTATCAAGCAGCAAAAGTTGACAATAGCGACCCGTGACGTATGTCATATGGTATCCAAAAATAGTTAAAAAGCAAGTATAACCTTCCCCTTAACGGGATTTCGAAAGCCAAACGCCACAGGACTCAAAGCTCTTAATTAAATTCAAAAAGCCTCACTACGAACACAATTTATAAGAGTATTTTTTTGGAGCCCTCGTGAGAGTTGTCCAAGTATCGATTTATTAATGTTAGAAAATTTATCGACGCCCATTTGTTAGAACTGTAATTGCTATGTTAATTTGATCGGCTTTATCAAACACCGTTGTTTAAATACAAATGCATTCAGTAAATTAGTATCGAGGGAGCAGCAGATTACGCAACTGTTGCTTTATCAGGTAACAGATATATTGCATTCTGTAGGTGTTTTTGAGAATTAAATATTATGGGTAATTAATATGTAGTTATTGATTTTAATCAATGGTGATATATGGCGCGGCAACTCACTCGAGCCCTCTGGGATTGAGAGTGTCCATGGACGGCTGTATCACTTAACATCAGATGAGCCTCTTGCACGTTCTATAAAAAAACATATTTCTAGGATCTAGACTTGGTAGACTAGGTAATTATTATGTGGTTAATAGAACACTTCACATTTCTTTATTCCAGAAATTTATATAAAATTCTTTAATTTTATTATCTACATACAATTACTAATTGTTGACAATTTAGATTCTAGATGATTTGAATAAGCATAAACCTTGTCCGTCTTTCACCTCAAATTTCGCATTTAATAGATAAAAATTAATGAGTCAGCGTTTAATTTCTCCGAAACTCTCACAGCCAGTTCAAATGTCATCGAACTCGTGCGCAGACAGTGCGGCGCCGGCGCAGTGGTCACGGCAGAGCTAATGATTGATGCACAGATAATCCGATCATCTCCCAGATAAACTTTTGTGGCATTGCTATTGTGTAACTACAAGCTTTTGAGCTTTGGCATCTTATGTATGCCTAATTGGTGGTATTTGGGTAGCTGTTAATAGAATTAGAGATGAAATGGATGGCTGAACTATGAAATGAGTAATTATAAAATGAAGCAACAAATATGTTGTAAAATACTGCATTAAACGCGTTGTTGGACTATTGGATATACAATTATTCCTCGCTAAAGGGACTTCCTGCAATTTCTGCTTTGATGAAGCAAAAAGATAACATTACAAAAACGATAAAGGGCTGCGAGCGCCTGAGTAGGTGCCCATTAAGTGTAAGATCGCGAAATTAAAAAATAACCTAGCGCATCAATCAAGATGATTGATAACCCTTATCATAGACAAACAGACGTACAACAACCCCGATTCTCATTATAGGTTAGGATGTGACGCTAATCTATTACTAGGACAAGGTGATTAAGATGGATTTTAAACTATTCGATAGTTAATTAAATTTATTAAACAGAAAGAAAAAGTCAAATTGTGAATTCTAAAAATGCCTAGATATAATTCGATTCT